AAATGTGTGCATGATGATGTGCATTGTGGGATAACGGCTACGCAGGTGAGATTAAAATCGGAGTCATAATGGCCGGGGAATTATCGTGATATCGAAAGATAATATACACAAATGTCTAAAACTTGAAAAAATAAAGAATTTCCGACGAAGGAGACTACACCCATCGCCTACAGAAACAGAATCTCGGTTGCGTGTCCATATGGACAGTACACTCATTGATGGCATAGGACGATTTCTGGTGTTAATAGACTCCTTTCCTGGATGGCTTGAGGTCGTTAAATTTAAACTGACGACAATAAATCAAATACTAAGAGTAGTATTTTCTAGGAAAGGGGTCCCTAAAACATTGGTATCAGACAACGCGCCAGAATTTTGTGATGAAGATCTAATAGGTTGAGGTGGATTAACTGCTTCCCTTAGAAAACACAACCGTGTCACTCACAATATAATGGGATTGAGGAAAGATTTGTACAGGAAGTGTAAATGGAATTAAAAGCATTTTCCCTAAGAAGAGATATTATAAACAATTACTTACCAAGGTTACAGCTTAGTTCTAGAACGATTTCAGATGCAGTCAGATTGCAACCCCCATCTGCGTTAACGAGTTGACAAATAAGATCTCCATTAACAATGACTTATTTGACAAAATGCAAGGATGCGGTATATGGAAGACAAGGTAGCAAGAAGAGAGAGAGAGAGAGAGAGAGAGAGGATTATTTCAGCGTGAAAAGGGGACATAACAAAGAAAATAAAAAGCTTAATGCCCCATCCAGACCCAGAATTGAAGAGAAAGACGACGTGATAGATGAAGATCTTGACAGAGAAGAAAGTATGAGTTCTTCAGACCAGGACAATGCGATAGATGAGACAATCAATGATTGTGTCATTCCTGCTATCATCCAAAGGGTCATTGTCTATTCCATTGTCCTAATCTGACAAGGAAAAGATGACAGGAGACCAAAAGAACAGGACAAAAAACAAAAGCATTAAACCTTTTCGTTTCAGGGAGGTGCAGTGGATTAATAGACAGAGGTAGATTGACTGCTTCCCTTAGAAAACACAACCGTATCACTGACATTATAATGGGATCGAGGAAAGATTTGTACAGGAAGTGTAAATGGAATTAAAAGCATATTCCCCAAAAAGAGAGCCTATGGACAATTACTTACCAAGGTTACAGACTATTTCACATGCAGTCAGATTGCAACCCCCATCTGCGTTAACGGGTTGACAAATAAGATCTCCATTAACAATGACTTATTTGACAAATGCAAGGGTGTCGTATAAGAAAAACAAAGTAGTAAGAGAGAGAGAGAGAGAGAGAGAGAGAGAGAGGGTATTTTCAGCGTGAAAAGTGGACATAACAAAGAAAAGAAAAAAGCCTAATGCCCCACCCAGACCAATTAAAACCCACAATTGAAGAGAAAGAAGACGTGATAGAAGAAGATCTTGACAGAGAAGAAAATAAGAGGACAGTAGTCCGAATAATGTAAATAATATTGACTGGTTATCTTCCATAATTCTTGGGAGTCAATTTGTTTCTTTTCTAATTTGGCTTGGAACACTAGTGCATAGGTACACAATTTCATTTTCCAAAATTTTCTTGCACTGATACAGAGCGCTTCTGAATTCAGTAATAGCCAAACTACATCGCTACTTGTCATAAGTACTGAAGCACTGGGTACAATGAACTATGGCCGTAGCTCAGTCAGGTCTGAACCAGGACTGGCTGTTTGGTTTTTCTTTAATATTTTGGTTGGATTAAAAACTCTCCATTCCAGAAACTATCCATTCAGAGAGGAGGGCACACGTTTTAGCATCAATCTAGTCATTGATGAATGAAGGACCTGACGTGTCCGGGGATGGGGGAAAAATATTTTGCTAAACATTTATTAGGGCAGGATGTGAGTAGGAAGTCGAGAAGACCCGCCTGATGCCACGTCACCGTCAGGGAGGTTACCGAGCTAGTTTATATTCGACGGAGAATTCTCTGCAATATCTGCCTTCATCATCAGATTTATTTGAGAGCACTGAGGATAGACAGGGAGATAGATATATTAGTTGAATTGCAAAATAATGACGTAATAATGTCGTTTTTGACGTTAAAAAATGCGTCAAAAACGACATTATTAATCATTTTTGCAACACCAACCTAATATATGGACTTGCTAAGATTGATAGAATGATATGAATTGATTTAGATAGATAGATAGATAGATAGATAGATAGATAGATAGATAGATAATGAAAAGAATGAGGTACATAGCTACAAAGATAGAAACATAGATAATAAATAGAATGCGTTAAGCAGTTTGTAAAGATCACTGTATCTCTCTCTCTCTCTCTCTCTCTCTCTATATATATATATATATATATATATATATATATATATATATATAACGAGTTTTGTGCTGTCAATTTCACTGCTCACTCTATCGCTTTTCCTCTCTCTCTCTATCTATCTATCTATCTATCTATCTATCTATCTATCTATCTATCT